GGTTGTGTGTTAAGGGGGTTAAGGGGGTTGGTTGAAAGGGAGAGGAGAGGGGTGGTTGGAAGGGGGAGATGGATATGGGTTATCAAATTGGTTTGTCAGTATGGTAGGGGGCGTTATATCATTTTTGGCTATTAGATTGTCTTCAATTAACTACGTATGGGAAGCCTTGCCTCTTTACAATATATCCCAATTTTCTGTCCCCACAACACCCTTACGTGTACCTAACCTTCGCCACCTTCCTCCCCGTATACTGCCTGATATATGTACGCCCGCTCAAATGCACCGCTATCCAAAACTCTTCATGCAGCCGAAAACTCCCGCCAATTGCCTCCCCCACCGTGGGGCTCACCGACGACACGGGCAGCAGGAACCAGCCCACGATCCGCGACACCACCTCCTCCCCGTGCACCGGATCGTCCGTGACCTGGGCGGGTTTCCAGAACCGCGCCAAATTCTCCGTCACGGCCCGCATCGCGTTGGGCGTGCGGTTTGTGATCTCGTAGAAGGTCAGGCGCGGGCCCAGTTGGTCGAGGATACGTAGCCGCTCGTCGGCGCGTATGTTGCCGAGCACGCGCGAGGGCGGGATGGTGATGCGTGAAAGGAGGTCATGGCCACCGCCGCTGCCATCGGGGCTGGGGGGTGCGAAAAGGCGGTGGTGGAGGGCGTTGCTAAGCGCGGCGGTGAAGGTGCCGACCGTGTAGAGGTGTTGGAGTACGTGTAGGCGGTGGTTGGTCCAGGCGGCTTCGTCGTCGTTGAGGTGGCGGTACTTATGGGGGGGCCGGAGGAGGTGGAATTGTAGAAGAGAGAGGGTGTCGTTGGGCAAGAGCCAGAGTGTGTCGAGGAGGTCCTTTGGGGGTGTGTTGGGGCAGGGGAACCAGCAGAGTTGGGCGAGGGACTTGGAGTGGAAGTCGAAGGAGCTGCAGAAGCATTGATTGATGTATTCAATCAGGTCGTAGTCCACGACTGGCTTGCTCTGGTTGTACTGGGTCATGAGTCCGTTTGGTTGGTAGAGGCTCTTGCCGAAGCCCTCGATGTGGTTCCCGAAACTCATGAGGTACCGCGGCCACCGGATGCTTTCCTCTTTGAGATTTGCGGGAGGCAGCGGGATGGCATACTCGAAGTCGTTGCCGCCTAGGAGCAGATTGACTAGAAGCTGGCAGTTGTTGGTGAGAATACTCCATTCGCCCCTATCTTTTCTTTGTACAAGGATGTTGGCGATACGAGAGAGATGCTTGTCCACCTCCCCCCCGAGGCACATCTCAAGGCTCGACTGCAAATCTTCGGCCATTTGACTGAGCATAGCCCGTCGAACTAGTGCCTTCTTTTCTCTAGGGATACTCATGTAGCTATCGCCTAGGAACATCAAACGTTGCACGGCAGCATCTTCGCGCGGCCGCGCTGACTCGGGATATCCGGAAAAGGCAGCACCATAAACTCTCTTGAGACAAGCGAGGATCGGTCTTGGGGACCGAAGGGATGCTCCTCGGTGCCTCGCGCCTCGGTGGGGTGTCTTGGTGTTTCTGTCCCAGTAGAAAAAAGGCCGCGGTCTCATCCGCCACGCGTCGTCGACATCTCCTACTCCGCCGTCGCTGAAGAAAGCCGGTGGCCGGCGTGGAGAGATGAAAACACCGTGCTTAGTTCTAAGAATCGCAGTTAGTTGGGAGGTGTAAGCTAAAGAGGTCGCCGCACTTACTTGGGCAGGCCAGACTCAAATACCAGAGGCCCAAACATGAGAGACAGGTGGAAGTTTCCGGATGGGGCGTAATGGCCTTTCATCATGAGCCCAACTGTGCGAAGAAACAGCCGCGGGTTTGTTGGCCACAGCCCCTCGGTTGATCGGAGAGCCTTGTCCATAAACTTTGCCTTTGTCTTTGCGATCCAGCCAGCTCCCATTTTATCCGAATCCGACGCTGTGTTGCGATCATGTTCTTTTCGTCGATAGCGTTCCGCTTTGATGAGACTAGAGCAAATGGCCTTGATATCTACTCAGATTCCGAAGTACGAGTTAGATCAAAACCGCAATTTTTTGCTGAGGCAGGTAGTAGCCGAACGCTTACTTACCCTTGATGTCCGGCTCCCTATAAGTTGGCTCATTCAAATGATTGTGGCTACAGCGGTTTAGAATCTCGGTGTTGGTTGTGCTCATGCATTCAGAGCAAAGACGGTAGGCCGGATATCGTTTCAAGTCAACCTCGTCTTGGGTTATACTTTCGTCGAGGGTATAAAACACCGGAGGATCGGGGTTCTCGGGTGAATACTCATAGAAGCAAGATGCCGTGCAACCCTTTTCGCATTGGTAGAATGTCGGGGATTTGATGAGAAGCTGACAAAGGCTGCAAGTAATTCCGCGGACGACCTGTGTTTCCCGGTCTTCCCTGCAAATATCAACTAGCTCAACTAGATAAGCGATTGATTAGAATCAAGCAGAAGCGACTATAAGGCAGCTTGGGATAACTGGGATATGGTTAGCCCCTTACCGTTTGGCCGGTTTTGCTGTACGTTAAGGTATCTCTGTGAACCGTTCGTTGGTTCATAAAGAACATCAAGGTCAAGCAGACCTTATATATGTATGTTCACGGTCAGTGGTGGATACTGAGCGATGATACGATCTGGAATCTCACCGGAAGCCTGCAAAATCAGACGAGCGGCCCATTCTCGTTTGTCTCTCTTCGCGGTGAAATGGTCTGTTTAATACACCTGAGCTTCATTGCGCTTACACTAGGGGACAGAAGGTGTGATTGCCCAAACATACCTCTCGCGGCTTTAACAGTCTCTTCATATAAGTCGGACATGGAACTTTTGTCAAGCCCAGACTGGCAGCCCACTTTATAGCCGTCAGCTCCAACCCGGAATATTCATAGGCGTTGAATGTGTTTAATATACTCCAAACGTCGAATATCTTCTTGAAACTCTCACAACACAAGTCCAGGTCAACCTCAGGCTTGAGTGTAAGATCAGCCGAGGAACGTAAGTGAGCGTAGAACTCAATCATGTTTTGAGCCTCTTTTTGGATCGACTCCCAGTACACCTTGCGAAGTTCGTTAAAAAGATCGTTGGCATCAGTGGCCTGTCCCGTCTTGGAAGACATGGTTGCAGTTGTGGGTGGCGGGTGGTGGAGCATGTTCAATGTTAGCGATAGGTTCTTGAAAACAGAGTAGACCAGTGCCAGTAGCTTAACTGCTTAAATACCTCAACTTTTGGAGGACCAAAGGAACAATGAGCCGCGTAAGGCGGCAGTGGGATACACGTAGGTAGGAAACCGAACTCGCTGCCCCTCGCTTGTGACTTCCCCATCGTCCGGCGGCTTTTATGTTAGGTCCGCCTCTCTATGTGCATTGAAGCCCAAAAGCCGCTGGATCCTGCCAGCGTGGCAGGCCCCTGAGCCGCATTACCGATTTTCCCAAGAGGCTATTCTTGAAAGTTTGCTTTGGGGAATCAAGAGTCGTGGCAGGAGGCGTTAAATTCTGGTTACACTGACTGACGTTGTCTGCGAAAGGCTGTGATGACTGTGTATGATTGGGTGCCCTGGCCACACGGATGGCTGCCCAAAACAAACCTGACGTTATTGCTCTTCAGCTTCTGCCAGATGTAGGTTACACAAGGCTGGTAATGCTTTAGCAAGCGTACCTATGAAGATGGGTGGTTGCGGAGGTAGATATAACATGCCTCACGCCGTGGTTTCATAGAACATGTGCAGCAACACAATTTACAAAAAGAACTCTGCAACTCCGCAAAGAAGAAGCCAAGTCCTCGCTGTGTCGAGCCAGCATCATGAACACGCAGCCGGAAAAACGTCGAGAACGGCTCATGTCCATGTTTACAAGAGTACTCGGCCGTGGAATACACATTTCTCGGAGCACACGGGCGGGAAAAACTAGCGCTCCTCTTCTCAAAAATAGTGCAAATATCTCAGACAAGTCCCGCTCTGCTCCACACTCTGCAGGAGCGTCAAGGGCTCTAGCCGAGGCCTCGAGATTCCTCGATAGCCTCCCCAAAAGCAGTGCGGGTCAGTCTCAGCCCCCTTTCTCCTTAACGCGGTGATTACCACTTAGCTCCTTTATCTGATATGCCTTATGTCTGCAGTCAGCATTCCTCGGCAAAGAACTCTGGACCGATATCTTGCCATTATCGAGGAACAAGGAATCCACAAAATCGAGAGCAATGAAGCAACAGAGTTCAACCCGTAGGTCTCATCTTCTACGCGAGTGGGATGATGTGACCCCATGGTGTCGTTTCAGACCACTAACTATATGTTACATAGAACCGAAGAGACATGGCAACTCATTTCCCATGCCGCCGAACGAGCTCAAATGATCTACTCGGACATGCCTCACTCGCCGCATAACACAATTCTGAGTCCTTCCGGCTACTCCAAAAAGACTGTGATCTCCGACGACCAGCTTCCAAACGGAGATCATGCCATCACTGTGACTGTATGTGGTTCAGTAGGTTTCCACGATTGGCTGGTGAACTTCAACGGGGCCCCAGAACAAACCATGCAGATGGACCATGACCAATCCCTCGAACCGCCTCGGGGATACCACAGAGGGTTCCTCGCCGTGGCAAAGGGCATGCAAGAGAATGTTGTAAGAGCGATTTCTGAGAAGCTTGACGGAATAGCCGACACTGGAAGGGCGGTTGACCTCCTCTTCACCGGCCACTCGGCGGGGGGGGCCATCGCAAAGTTATTCTACGCCATGAGCTCGTCGTCTAGCAGTTTGTTCTCCAGCGTCATACCAAGTCAGTCAATATTTTATTAATTAATTCCTATATTATCCAGGCTGGCCCAAGCTAACACGCTCGTTTTAGGATTCCGCCACGTCCACTGTATCGTTTTCGGTGCGCCACCCGTAGCCACCTTTCCCATCTCACACTGGCAACCCCAATCGCCACCCTTCCAATCCGGCGTGTTCCTAAACATAGTCAACGAGGGAGACCCAACCCCCCTCTCCCAGCAGGAGTACGTCCACCTCTTGCTTAGGTGTTTCGTCAGCACGAAGGAACCGAAGGAGCCCTCCAACGAGACGCTTCAGGTCCCCGAGCCGGTGCTGCGTCTGAGCGGAACCTGCATTGTTCTGAGGGACGTCAGCGAGGATATTCAACAAAAGAAGTGGAGGGCCGTGGAAGTTGTGCCGGGTGTGTTGGAAAGAAAATTGTTTGGAGATCCGACCATGCACCATGTCGGCAACTACGTGGACAGGATCAAGGCTGCGCGTCAGGCCAGTTAGTAACCTAAGCACCCTGGGCCTTCACTGAAGAATTTAGACCTGTTGGAAGGCAGACCAGGAGGTCTGAGCACAGGAGGGTCAATGGGTCAAGGCCCAGAACGTGGTGGCAAGAGATCGGTCGGCTTAGGCCGGAGAGATCACTCGGCTTAGGCCAGGTGCGGTTGCATGCGGTGCCACCATCGCTGCTCAGAGAGAGATGTCAAGGGTTTGGAACTCCCCTTACAGAAGGAAGGGGGGAACAAGGACAATTTGATTTTGGCAGAGTCTCATAGCCTCCTAGGCTCAGCCGTGTGAATTCCCATCTTCCTGTGTGTGTGACACCTTGGATCAGTGGCTGTTGGTCTTCCAACAAGACCCCGCGGCATGTACGGCGGGGGCTGGCTGTTACGGGAAAAAGAAGCCCTTAAACAACACGCCCAACGTTACGTGATGGGCCACCGGTACGACAGCCTCTTTGTAAACAGCAGAGAAGAGATAAAGTGCAGAGGGGGGAAAGAGCTCTATTCATATGATTCATATTAAGACTAAGCACTCAAATGTGTTGGATGAAAACCTGATCGGCCAGTTTCGCAACCTTCCGCCGCCCGATAATGTTGGCATCGCGAATGTCGATGGTGGGCCTATTTTTAACCTGCGCCTTCCGGGGAAGTCCTATTGGGGCCCCTTTCGAACCATCCAGGACTTCCATAGAGAATTACGAAACGGAGTCGAGGCCAGCCAACTGGACGACCGCTCTATCCCCGGCCTCGCTGAACTCTGTGCTTTCCACGATGAGCCGTGGCCCACGCCTGTCTTCACGCACGGCGACTTGAGCAGCTTTAACATCATCGTTCGCGACGACAGATTCGTGGGGATTATTGACTGGGAAAATGCCGGGTGGATGCCGCCGTACTGAGAGTATGCTTCGACCTGTAACACCGCTCCAATGAACCAGTTTTGGCAGGACGAGGCGGACAAGTTTCTGACACCTATGCCACGAGAATTGGCAATGGAAGCTATCCGGCGGAGATGGTTTGCAGCAATCTAAAAGAGGGTAGTGATATTACATGGCCCATTGCGAGTCAACTAACGCCCAAACCCATCCAAACATATGCTCAAAACGCCGTGACGCAAATACAGAACTGTATCTCTCACTCGCTCACTTCTTCGCTCCCTTCCCCTCCAAATGCCATGCAAACACCTTCTCAAACACGGCTTTCCCATCCCCCACGATGGTCTCGCCATGACAAGGCACGATGGTATCGAAATCCCACGCCGCCATCCTCGCGACACTCTCATTAAACCCGACCCGATCATTCCGACTCGCCACATACCACAGAAACCTCTTCATCCCCAACGCATCCCCAGCCGTCGTCTGGAAACTACTAAACACCTTCCCCAGCACCCCCAGCTTCGGCCTCTCCTTCTCGGGCACCCTCGAATACTGCTCCGTCGCCGGCAGATTAAACACCAAATCCGCCTGCACCACCACCTTTTCCGGCCGATACCAAAACACCACCTCCCGATTCGGATGCCCCCTGAAATACTCCATCTCGAAATCCCGCCCGAAATCCTCCCCGATCACCCTCGCATCCCGCCCATCATTCCCCTTCCCCACCACCACCGCGAATTCCTCCTTCCCAATCCGCGGATCCCCTTCCGTCGCCTGCCGTTTTTCCGGTAGGCCCTCGGGTCCGACGAGCTTGGCGTTGGGATAGGCGGCCGCCCATTCGGAGAGGAAGATGTGATGCTCGATGTCGGTGGCGATGAGGTAGCGGACATCGCCGCCGAGGGAGGCCACCTTGGCGGCGGCGGCGGCGGTGTGCGCGACGGGGGAGAAGACGGCGAGGGCGCCCGAGGTGAGGCGGACTGTGGAAGTGTTAGTTGGCAAAACCAGGGGGTTTGGAGAGATGTAGTGAAGGGTATAACTTACTGAGTGTGCCGCGCCCGCCAATGGGGATGCGGCCGAAGCGGAGGAAGGGCACCGAAAAGGTCACGACGTTGGGGGTGATATCACGGATGACCATCACCTCGTCGGGGTTGGGTGGAATGAGTTTGGACGACATGGTTTGACTTTGTGTGGAAGTGGTAATTGCAGCAGCTGAGCCGGCAAAAAGAAGAATACCGGCGATGATATTTCGCGTGGTGAGTCGATTCTTACGTAAAGGTGTTGATGATGTGGCGAGGGGCCTGGTTTTGTGTGATGAGATGAAGTTTTGATTTTGGATGAAGCGAACTGGGCGCTGGTGATGGGATGATGTTGAAATTAGCTACTAGCAAGGTGTTTGATATGGGAAACCCAGGACTGGCTGGCGGGATTTATACCCAGTTGCCTAGGACCTTCACGATGAGAGACGACAAATCAACATGGGCTTACAAAGCTGTGATTGCAATTGAAGACTGCTTGGCCGTTTGTTGGCCTCGGCATAATGACACGAAGAGGGATCATTGAGTAACGCCTCGGCAAAACGCCCTGCGTACGACACGGAACTTTGGCTGTCCGGTGCGTATTCAGCAACGCCGCCGTAATTTGTAAAAACGACTGCCTGGGATTTGGAATTCCGGCATTTGGAACTTCTGCACAGGGGTCTAGACCCATGCACGGAATTCCGGTCAAGGCATGACATCATCTTTCGCAACGGTGCTCGCCCAGCTGTTAGGCTTGGCAACGGGGTTCGGCAAAAAGTGTAACGCTATGTAACGGCGTAAAAGCACGGACCTCATCTTCTTAGCTTCGATCTTTGTTCGAAAGGTCGCATTTTGTCGGTACCTTCAGTTGCCTCGGCGCTCCAAAGTATGCTGAATGCACCGCGATACAACCCTGGTTGACTATTTTGGTAACAGGGGTAGAGAGAACGAATGTTGGCCCGGGGTAGGCCTCGGGGCCTCTGGCTGTGTCATGGGTGCTCCGTCACAGGCCAGCAGCGACGTCTGCTGAATCATTTCATCTCCAAAGGTACTCGGGCCCTCGACCCCCCGGCGGACACCAAAACCACCCACCCATCACAAACTAACCTCACCTACCCTATCCAGCACCCGAACCAGAGCCCGAAACCCCTACCATCCAACAACCACCCCTCCCTCGTCCTTCCCGCGCCCCCTTTACCCTCGCCGTAAAAGACAACATCGCAACGACCACCCACCCAACAACATGCGCCTCGGCCTTCCTCACCACCCACCACTCCCCCTTCGAAGCCACCATCGTCAGGCAGCTCCGCGCGCGCGGCGCCCGCCTCGTCGGCAAGACCAACCTCGACGAGTTCGGCATGGGCAGCCACAGCACGCACTCGGCGGCCGGCGCCGTGGCGCAGTCCCCAAGGGGGGATGCGGGGGATGATGAATACTCGGCGGGCGGTTCCTCCGGCGGTAGCGCTGTTGTCGTCGCTGCGGGAGAGGCTGATGTTGCGCTGGGCACGGATACCGGCGGGTCGGTGCGGCTGCCGGCCGCGTATTGTGGTGTTGTCGGGTTCAAGCCGTCGTATGGCATGCTCTCGCGGTTTGGGGTGGTGCCGTATGCGAACTCGCTAGATACGGTGGGGTTGTTAGCGAGGGGGGTGGGGAGGATAAGGGAGCTGGTTGTTGGCGATGCGGGAGGGGGTGGGGGGCTGTGGAAGGAGGCGGATTCGAGGGACCCGACTAGTTTGTCGGAGGCGGCGAGGGGGAGGTGCGTGGTCGGGAGAGAGGGGTATGGAAGGGAGCAGAAGGAGGGGGGGGATGTGTTAAGAGGGCTCCGATTTGGAATTCCGTTGGAGTACAACATCGAGGAGCTCGACTCCGGGATACGGGATGCGTGGGCGAAAGCGGCAAAAATATTACAAGAGGAGTATGGTGCGCGCGTGGTGCCGGTGTCGCTGCCGTCGACCAGGCACGCCCTGGCTGCGTACTACGTCATCGCACCAGCCGAGGCGTCGTCCAACTTGGCCAAATACGATGGCGTGCGGTACGGCACGAGGGACACCGATGCCGCGAGCGATGCCGCCGGTGGGGTGCTCTACGCTGCGAGCCGCGGCAAGGGGTTTGGTGATGAGGTGAAGCGGCGCATCTTGCTTGGCTCGTACACCCTGAGCTCCGAGGCCATGGACAACTACTTCATCAAAGCGCAGCGGGTGCGTCGGCTGGTGCGGAAGGACTTCAACCGCGTGTTTGCGCTCGATAACCCTCTTCATGACAGAGAGACGTTTGATCTCACAGATCTGGACGAGAGCATCGAAATGGAGGATAAGTGGGGGCCCGAGGAGGTGGACTTTTTACTCTGCCCGACAGCCCCGACGCTCGCGCCGAAACTAGCCGATGTCATGAAGCAGACGCCGCTCGATGCTTACATGAATGATGTGTTTACAGTACCCGCGAGCTTGGCAGGCTTGCCAGCCATCAGCATACCGATGCCTGTTACGCTGGAGACGGAAAATGTTGCAGGGAAGCCTGGCACGGCCGGGCTGCAACTCATCGGGCAGTACTGGGACGATGCCCGGCTGCTTGCTGTCGCGGATGCCGTGTCAAAGACGCTTTAGAGCGCAACTTCGCAATGACACCCAAGGCACCGTCAACATCGGGCACATAGTTGATCTAGTGACCCTTACCCTTATGAATGGCTATCACACGTGGGATTCACTGGCGTGGGAGAAATGCCAGCTGAGGTAATTCCAACGGGAGTGATTGTATACAATGTATTATATTACGCTCCTGTAACTGTGTGCTTCCACCCAGCTATGTTCGAGATGATTCCATTCATGTGTTCAATGCGTTGGGGATACTAATTAGGCTTCATGTTTCCACCCGATCGACGCGCGGTTCCTGCGGTGACATCCTCGGTTGCCTTAAGCCTCGTCTTTTTGTTCTGGGGCAGGGACTCAACCGCAACTGAATGCCAACCAGAAGCCTCGGCGTTCCAGCCCGGCACTGCTTGGCGTATAAATGCGTGGATTGGCCGTGTGACCAGGATGGATGCGGATAGATCGCAGCAAGCATGTTACGGCATTCAATCAGAAACCCGCTTGTGCTCCAGACCTGGACGCTGTATGCTCCATTCTCGGAGCGGCGAAATCATCGTCTGTTTGGACAGGTCCGTTGTTTGGTATCGAACCATAAACTCCGGTCGAGCTTTCAAGGACTCGCTTCACCCTCAGAACGATGAGCTTCCGGTTTGTCAATGTCCATCCTGTCATGGTTTGAGCGCCTCCTTGGTGACCCGGACCTTGACCTTGACCTCCGCCGTGAATCCGACCTGGACCTTGTTTGTGACCGCGACCTTGTTTGTGACCGCGACCTTGTTTGTGACCGCGACCTTGTTTGTGACCGCGACCTTGTTTGTGACCGCGACCTTGTTTGTGACCGCGACCTTGTTTGTGACCGCGACCTCGACCGGACGAAGCCAGATTCACTTTCATGTCCATCCCCATTGGCGTCATCCCCGTTCTCCATCGCCTCGTCCTCCTCCAGCAGATCCTCGAGCGCGCCGAGCGGACTGACACGCGGTTCAAGGAGCTCCAGGTCCTCCAAAATATCTCGCTTCCGCATCTTCCACAGACTCGTCGCGCACACGCGGTCCTTCGTAAGCAGATCGTCGACAAACACGTCCATATACGTCAGGGTGGTGCCGTCGCGACCCTTGCGGCGCAGCTTGCGACGATCCTCGAGAAACGGCTCCAGGCGCGCATACACATCCTTGTCAGTCCTGGTGAGGACGGATATAGAACGCGGCGAGCGCGCGCAGGTACTTGAACTTCTCGCCGCCAAAGGCGAGGATATTCGTCGAGGATGTCGTCGGCGGGGGCAAGCTGCAGCAGCTTGAAGGCGAGGCACAGGAAGGGCGTCGGCTTCTGCACGATGCCTGCGACGCCGCCGATGTGGTCCACGTGCTCGACCACGCGGTCAACTATGTCGGCCTCGTTCACGCCGAAGCACTGCTCTTTGTAGAAGTAGCTGTCCACGATCCTCTCGCGCACGGCTTTCTCCATGATGGTTGCCGGGTTGAGCCCGTTCGGGGCGAGGGCGCCTGAGCTGCCGCGCTCGTCGAGGAAGCGCCGCTCATCGGCGCGGTGGAAGGCGGGCTTGCTCATAGTTGGGAGGTGTTGGGGGTGTGGACCTGGGCGTGGGAGTGGTCTTGCCGGTCGGCGGGCTCGAGGGATTGGAATTGAATTGGTGATTTGCGATCACCGCCCCACGCAGTTTTTGGGTTGTTGATGCTGCTTCCCCAGATTTCTTGGCGTGGTGGGGCAGGCCGATAAGGGATAGTTGCCCAGCCAACATCGGTTTTTGTTTGGATCGCGAAGGGGGGTTTGTTCAACAACGCTGATGTCACTGTTGGAAACATTTGCAATTCTCATGTTTGTCATTTTATTCCCCTTATTTGAGAAATTATATTTTAACGGCCATTCTCGGAAATTGTACCCGCCCTGTCCCGTAGTAAACGCAAGAAGCATCAGACAGAATGCTCCTCACCTCGGGTCAGGTGTCTGTTGCAGTCTCTTCTGGTATTGGTATGCAGCTTTCCGCTTCCCGTTTGCTCCCTGGTGCACGCACACCCTACTCCCCATTATTACCAGCAATCTTTTTCACCCACCATCCTCACAATCCGCCACCAACTTAACTGAACTAAAATTTAAACTAACCGACCAACCCCTCCCTCACCAGTGTTCCTTTGCACCACAGCTCTCTTCCTAAGTGGCTATGTTCTGCAGCAACGCACCCTCCGCGACCTCCGTGCCGCCATCAGGAGCTCTCGCGACCCTCCCTCAGATCTTCTGCCCGACGCTTCAAACAGTCGAC